TGCTTGATAAATTCCCCCAAAGACTTCATTGTTTGTGGAGCCCTGAAGTCCCTCTAGGAAACATTTGGATTTGGGGGAGCACGATGTGAACACCACTGACCAGGAACCCACTCCTGTTCATCTGCTTGTTCCTCACACCCTCTACCATGCTTAAAGACAGCCTGAGACATTTTAGCAACCACAAAAATAGTACACATAATGCAGTACTTGAAAAAAACATGGAATTTAGATACAGATACTTAGTACTTTTAAAAGAAAAAAAACCATATCTAAACTAGTTTATATAAACCACTTTTTTCTTATTTATTCCCACCAAATTTCTATGTTCAGAACAATGGCAATGGTGTTTTTATCAGTCATACCCCGCATCCTAGTTTTTCTCAGAAATTTTCATTTATATTTAATGCCTATATCTCGTAATTTCTTGAAAAGGACAAAGACAGAAGTCCAGTCAAGGCCATAAGACTGTTTTCTCCTGAGAAACTGTCAGCCAAATTTCTCAGGGAGGAACTGGAAATGAAATGAGAGACATTGATAAATTTCCCTGCTGAACAATCAATAAAAGCCCCACCATCCTGCTCAGACTCCCACTGTGGAAGCAAGAACCGTAATTACATTGTCAAAAATTCAAGTTGCTCAGGCTGACAGCAACCCTCTTGAAGAGTGACAAGTGATTGGCACTCAGTTTGGGGTGGTGAACCCGGACTGGCAAACAGGTGGGTAGAGGCACAAGCAAGAGTGAAATTTCCTTATTGACTACCACTACTCAAACCCCAGACTGCCACTCTGGAGGCATCCTGAGACCCTTTAGTCATACTACCATATCAAAGGGAGCAGCTGACAGAACTTACTAAACAATATGAACTCCACCAGAGACTCAGAGCATGCCCATCCCCATCCACTTCCCAACAGAGCAAAGAAAGATGGCACTGTGTGTGGGTGTGTGTACATGCAGGTGTGTGTATGTGAGTATAGGTGCATGTGAGTTTTTCTACATTCAAAGGAAGACATGAAATGTGCTTTCAACTCCATCTTTTCTTGTGACAGCTGAACAGCCAAGCCCATTTGTTTAGCGATTTAGTCTATGAAAAAAATCAGCTGGAGCACTGGGTTTCAAAGGGCAATAATGAAAAATGAGATGGGAGGGAGGGGGGAAAGCGATCCTACTGACACGCAGACCCGCTTGTGTGATTCTATATAATCTGAGCTGGAGTTAAACTAGAATCCATCATCCCACTTATTGCTAGATATTAGGAACCAAATGCCTGTCCATAGCCTTGTTTACTGGGCAGTACCCTCCTTCTGGCTACCCAGGGGCCCATGAAAATAGTTTCCAAGCAGCCTCCACTGTAACCACACCTGAGAACAGTGGAGATCCACTGCTGGGAAGCAGCTGCACCACCAGAGATTAAAATCTAAAGGTGTTCACTGGGTGGTGGGAACAGAAGATGCCTGGGAATGTTATCACTGCATGATCTCCAAAGCTAAAACCCCCTCCTACTCAGATGAAAAGAGATAGAAAAGAAAATAAATAAGGAGAGAACTTGCTAGACAGAGCTGGCTTCATGCCAAATTTTGAAAGGGAAGCCTCCAACTCTCCACCCCCAATTTTCTCACCCCTAAAAGAAAATAAGGTAATTGGCACTGGGGACTCAGGGCTTTTGGAAAAAGAACATACTCAAAATAGCAATCACTAACACTGCTTGCATGTTTCATGTGCCCAATACTCTGGAGCATTTTATGAGCAGTAAGTCTATGAGGTGGGGACTGGGTTTTTCTGTTTTTATAGATTTGTCCAAGGTCATGGCTAATAAGTGGTATAACCATTCTGATTTCTGATTCCAAAACTATTCACCACTGAAATCAGTATACCTCTGAGTGTAGTCCAGGGGTCACCTGAATCAAATCACATGAGGGTCCCATTGAAATGCACATCACTGGGCCCAGAAATCTAGATTTTAAAAATCTCCCAAGAAAAGACTTCTGTGCACCCAACTTGGTGAATCTCCTCACTACTTCATCCTGGGAAGCCGAGTGGATGCCAGGTCATTAGGGATTTCCTGGGTGAAAGGCAGTGAATCAAGTTGCTCTCTGTTTTGCATACTTGACAGCTAAAGAAAATTAGTTTTTCCCTAAAGCCCTGGTGTCGCCAGATCCACCTTTGGCCCTGATAAAAGGCCAGTGAAATGATGTAATGATTTTACCCATGATATACCACCGTGCCGGAGGGGAAATCAGTTTGAGACCTCAGGTGGTGAGAGAGCAGTGAAGGGAGAGGATTGATGAGACGCATGTAGGACTGAGTCTCTGAAAGAGACATCAAGAAGGGAATCCCTCTCACTCAAATGGCTAAGGTCTTTTCTACATAGTATTTGTTTTTCAAATGAGCAGCATCACATCAGAGAGGAAACAGCTTGATGACAAAAGCCTGTGTTCAGCATGTATGCTTCATGATTCAGATGTGATCCTGGTCACTCCTCTGTTAGGGGGCTTTAGGGAATGGGTTAAACAGTTCTTGATAATGGCCTAATCTGAGAATGCAGGGAAGGAGGGGGCAGAGGAAGAGGAGGGAGAAGATAGAAACAAGGAAAGCAGACGGAGAGGAGGTTTCATTCTCAATATCCAGTAACCTCACACAGCTCGAGTAGCAACATTTTTCTTAACTTTCAGAATTTTTACATGTCAGAAGCATCGACTTTGCTTTAATTGCTTCATATTGACTGTAAGCAATGGCACTAGGGACTTTCTTAACTTGACATTTGCTTAATCACAAAGGCTTACAAGCCCAGTGTACGTTTGACATAGAGGTGCATAAGGGTGTGTATATGAACTCTTTCGCTGATTCTTCATACCAGAGCATGAGAATAAGGAGAGCTTGGAATGAAAGAGGAAGAGACACAGTAGAGTTTTCATTTTCCCTCACTTGAGTTCAATTTCTAGTAAGAGATGTGCTATCTGCATCGGATAGGACAGTGGCTCTTAAAACTGAGGACCTTGAACATCCAATGCAATACTATGAGAAAATGACGGATGGTACAGGGAAACTATGGGGGGGAGGGGGATGGGATTAACAGTAGCAAATATCTGTCGGGGGATGGGAAAACACTTCTTATCTACATGGTGCCTGAATGAAACGTCATTGTACACCTAACCCTTAACTGTACCCCACAAAACCATAATAAAAAATACTGATTAATGAAAAAAAAAAAAAACTGAGGACCCCTGCTAGGCCCCAGGATTCTCAGAATGATCTGTGAGCTGGCTGAAACACCTTTGGCTGCCCTCTTGTTCTGCAGATGTTTTGTTGTTGTTGTTTTTTCATTGGTAAGCAGTAGCACATTAGGTTGGTGACCTAAGTGTACATTAGACTCCAGCAAATATTTGACACCATGGTCGATGTGGGAACAGATCCTGGGCTACAAAATCAGTGAAGGTGCTTGCTGATGAAGACAATAGAGGAGACCCCCTCAGAAGAAGATAATAAGGATCAATATAGTAGACATTCTGAATTTCTGTCCAATGGGCTGTGGGTTTGCTTGCTTGTTTTCTTTAATATGGAACGCTTCACAAGTATGTGTGTCATCCTTGCACAGGGGCCATGCTAATCTTCTCTGTATTATTCCAATTTTAGTTTATGTGCCACCAAAGCGAGCACGGGTTCGTTTTTGTTTTTTTTTAACTTACAAAATGTGATCCCCCAGTGTCAGGCACATGGCTAGCCATTAGTGAACACTTAATAAATGCTTGAGGAGACTTGCTTCCTCTCATAGTAAGCTGAAAGAGGCAAGAGAGTGTTTTTTGATAGACAATGATTGAGGCCCGCAGTCTTTAATAGAGCCTGGACAGAGAAAAATGGCCAACTCCTCAGCACAGCTGCATGTTCACATCTAAAGCAATTCTATGGTAAGTGGGTTTTATTTTATAATGCCAATATAGAAATGCCAATGTAGATGATATTATGTTTTCTGGAGATTGTTTCACTAACTGGAGACCACATTTCTGAGCTGGCTTTGGTTCATACTACACAACCAAAAGGATGTAGGTATCCACTGAGATATACTTAACATTCATTATTGTATACTTACATTTTACAGCTGATACTAAGGATGATCCTGACACAGTAATTTCCTGGTTCTTAAGAGGAAAAAAATATTCATCTTGCAAAGTGAAAATAGATGATCAGAAGGGCCAGCAAAGTTGGAGAAGAAACACACTGTAGTCTATGTAGTCTATCCCGTTTTCTCCTAGATGTCCTTAAACATTCAACCTGTCTGTAAGAAGATTCTAAATAGAACTGTAATTAGACCCTGTTGGGGGTCAAGGGAGAGAAAGTGGTTCAACAACAACGTAATGAAGTTGTCTCCATTTGGTTTGATTTGAGATGCCAGCCTATCGCGTGTCGAGAGACAGCAGTGCATGCTCAGTAACTGCATCAATCAGTTTTCACTAGGTTATACAGCAGTTACAAATGTAAATCTCAGTGACTTCCAACAACCAAGGCTTATTCCCCACTCACATGCATGACAGCAGGTCAGTCAGCTGCAGTGCTGGCCCACATTGTCTTTATTCTCAAGCTGAAAGAACTGCCCCTATGTAGGGCAGGTAATTCTCAAGACAGGGGAAATGTGCAAAATGGAGGAAGCATCACAACAGTTCAAAACTTCCACTTGACCATGCAGTCCATCATTTCTGCCAACATTTTCACTGGCCAAAGCAAGTACCTGGCTAAACTTACTGTCAGTGGGGTAGGGAAGTTGGACCATCCACAGAGAGGCACTAAAGTCACCTGACAGTGGGATGAGGTGTACAGCATCCTCTCACAGGAGGAAAGTAAATAATTGGAAACTGTAGTACACTCTGCCACAGGAATCATAACAATCTTGTTTGTTATTTAAGGAGATAGTGCCGCGTTCTAATTGACCTTGTTGCCTTGGAAACTGATAACCAATAATTTGTAACTAGTTGTATCATTTTCCACTGCCACAAGATGCCTCACTCACCATGCAGGGAAAGAGTTCCGTTCCTCACAGCCAGGAACTTGACTCCGTAGGGAAAGAAAGGGGCTGAATGGGAACTTCCAAAGAGTTTGATCTGAGCTTTGCCTTGGAAGGGTTTGTCCTCGGATCCAATCCGGAGTTCTCCACCATCAGAAACAAGGATGGCATGGGCCCTGAGCTCGATGGGTCCTGGAGCCATGAAAATCAGCTTGCCCCCTAAAAGACATAGAGAAAATTGTCAGTCCCTGGGAGGTACTCACCCTGTTTCCACAGTTCCAAAGGCTCACCCTGTTTTCACAGTTCCAATGTCTGACAAAATCCCCTTCTGTAGGAATTTAGACTTACACTTTATTTTGTATTCTAGCAGCACAGTAGGGTAGATCAGGCACCCAGGAGTAGAAGCACTGTATTACCAAGCCAGCTTAGGTTAGCTATTACAATTCTCTGCAGCTTTATTTATATTTCTTATGACAATAATTTAAATGTCCAGCAATCTAGGGCTGATTAAATAAGAAATGAGAAGTCCACTACCTTTGCCATTTAGCAACAGACAAAATCAGCTTATAAAATTAAGTTTAAAAAAAAACTGGGAAATGTACAAGAAATAAGAATAGAGGAAAATGTGCCAAATTTATAAGAATTATAGTAAAAGTAAGTACAGTTAGGGCTAGCATCATAGCATTTGTAGCATTTTAGCTGACTAGTATCCATTATTCTTTCTTTTGATAATAGACCCTAATTTCCTTGAGAAATTGTTCTGCTCCATTGAATAGAACTGAGGGAATAGTCAATCAAGATGTCTTGTCCTAGCATAGGCAGAGTTGCATACTCAGGCTTCGGAAGGAAGATGGAGTAAAAGGGAAGAGAAATAGAAAGTGTTAAGAGCTCATTAATTTCAGTGGTGGCATTCCAAGGAGCCTGGGAAGAGTTCCTGCTTCTGAGACCCTCCCACGTGGCAGTCTCCCCCCACCAAATGCTTTGATTCTTATTTACCTCTGTGCCTGATTCTCAAGGCTGTTTTTCATTGATTAGTAAGCTACCCAATACCTTCTCAATAAATTTCCTATTTTTGAAGAAAAGTTGGTTTCTGTTACTGACAACCAAATAACCTTAACTAATACAGATATCATTTTGCTCTGATGTCCAAATATTCTGTAAAATAGGAATATTAATTTATGATAAAATGATTTCATATTGAGAGTAAATAATTAAAATATTCAAAAGATACTTTCCTCTTGACAATACCCTTCTTCAAAAGTATTTAGAATATTTACATTTAACACTATTTTCTCAACAATGTCAAAACAAAGCATCCAATATAAATAAACACTTTAACCTGAATAAGCTATTAAATCAGTCCCTCTCCTGTAAATTTTTGGCAAAAGCACTGGACTAGACTCTCCTGTTCTATAACAAAGTAGTCAGATTTGTGAATTTATATTAGAAACACGAGAGATTCT